CAGACTCCTGGAGAGGGCCTGGAGCCAGGTGAGAAAGAAAAACGGGCTTACTAGGCCATCACGTGCCAGGAGTGGAGGGGAGCGGGGGGGGGGGAGCCAGATTCACTTAACAACAAAATGTTACTCATTTCACACCTGCAGCGATTCACTTGGCAAAGGTGGGCCAGAAAAGTCATAAAACGGGGCAAAACTCGCTTGACAAATTTCTCACTTCGCAACATAAATTCCGGACTCAGTCGTGGCTGTAAGTCGAGGACTACCTGTATTCGAAGCTGAATTAGCAGCGATGATAAGTCCAAACCAGACAAATGCTTTCATGCTGCTTGTATAAACTGAGCTTTTCATGTTTTCTGCCCAGAAGTTGCTCCGTGTTGTGGCTTGTTCTGTTTGCTCGCTTGACTCATTCTGCTGGTTGTTGGCGTCATTTTTTGGAAAAGGAAGCGTGGTTTCATAATAGCTGAGCCACCAGTTGCTGGAAATCTTGTTGTGTCATAGATAAAAGAACATTGCTTCCATTTTTGCTGTGTCTGAAACTACATGGAGTTTTTCCCCCATCCTCTTCTGAAGGATATGAAAACCGCAGATCAGCGATGGGTTTCACATTTCGTTGCTACCGGTTCGCTGTGTTTGCGCACGCCCGATTCGCACATGCCCAGCCTTCCACACATGTGCTTTGCTCGCACGCGTGCTTCCATGCATGCGCCCGGCCCCAAAAACGTGCCTAAATAGTACGGCATAGAGCCAGGGCGATTTCCACGACCGTTTCGCCCAAACCGGTCCGAACCAACTGAATACCACCTCTGCCGCAGATGGGCTGTGATCACCCAGAGGTAGCCCGACCATGTCTTATTTACGGTGATGGGAACCGCAGTGAGCACATCTGTCTCGGAAGGACTGCTTAGGAGAACAGTAGCAACATCCAGGGAGCAATTTTTGGGAGGAAATAGACAGCTGATCAGGCTTTCAGCGTTTGTGCCTGGGGGTTCCATCAAATCCAGAATGTTTTGAGCTCAGATGTTCCATTTCAATTCCCAGTTTGCTCTGTTCTGATTTCAGAAGGGTACTTTTGACCTTCGTGGAGTATTTTAAGCTCAAAAACATCTGAGCCGGAAAGGGTAGTTTAAATGTTCCAAGCCGTGGAAGGTCTTGCACACCTCCAGTTGTTTCTTTGTATGTGCATGTGTTTTGCCCTAGCTCTGGATTTCTGAGGATATTGACACACACCAATGGTCCTTATCAAATTTATTAAGTAGCAAGAATAAACCAAAGTCCAGCAAAGGTTGGCAACCAGCCCAGAAAACAAAATACGATAAGAATTCTCCAAAAATGCTCTGATGATAATTACAAGTTGTTTCCAGCAAGAAACTTACTAACTGCGTGCGACTTAAATAGGCTAAGGGAGTGGCCAATTATCCTCAAGCCTTACTCTCGAGTAGACCTCCTCCTCCTGAGTAGCCACTCCTGCCTTTTGGCAACCCTGCGTGCTCGAGCATTGAGAAGAGGCTCCTCCACTTTGCTCTCTCTACTTGAAGGAGCCTCTGGAGGTTCTGAAGGCCCTGGCTGAGTCTCTGCCTCTGGCACCACATGCTCTTCAGCCTCCTCGCTGTCCGATGCGAGCGCCGGCTGCTGGCGCAACACCACACCAGTCTCCTCATCGTCGGGATCAGCCACGATCCGCGCAGGCCACTGGCGGGCCACAACATTTATATTTATATCATCTTCTGGAGTGTGGGAGTATACATGAATGTATGTGTGTATATACAGTATTCTCTCTCTCTCTCTGTGTTGTGTGTGTGTTGTTTTTTCGCTTATATTCAGTTGTGTCCGATTCTCAGAGCTTGCCTAGAAAGGTCCCTGCAGTTTCCTTGGCAAGATTTTTTTTTTAAAGAGGGAGTTTGCCATTGCCTCCTTTCTAGAGCTGAGAGAAAGTGACTGGCCCATGGTCACCCAGCTTGTTTTGTGCCTAAGGTGGGAGTAGAAGTCTTATGGTGATTGGCCCATAGTCACCCAGCTGGCTTTCGTGCTTAATGTGGCACTAGAATTCACCATCTCCTGGTGATTGGCATACAGTCACCCAGCTGGCTTTTGTGCTTAATGTGGCACTAGAAGTCACCATCTCCTGGTGATTGGCCTACAGTCACCCAGCTGACTTTTGTGCTTAATATGACACTAGAATTCACCATCTCCTGGTGATTGGCCCACAGTCACCCACTGGCTTTCGTGGTTAATGTGACACTAGAATTCACCCTCTCCTGGTGATTGGCTCAAAATCACCTGACCGGCTTTTGTGCTTAATGTGACACTAGAATTCACCATCTCCTGGTGATTGGCCCACAGTCACCCAGCTGGCTTTCGTGACACTAGAATTCACTATCTCCTGGTGATTGGCTCAAAATCACCTGACCGGCTTTTGTGCTTAATGTGACACTAGAATTCACCATCTCCTGGTGATTGGCCCACAGTCACCCAGCTGGCTTTCGTGACACTAGAATTCACTATCTCCTGGTGATTGTGATACTAGAATTCACTATCTCCTGGTGATTGTCTCAGTCATCCAGCTGGCTTTCGTGCTTAATATGACACTAGAATTCACCATCTCCTGGTGATTGGCTCAAAATCACCTGACCAGCTTTCATGCTTAAGGCAAGATTAGAACTCACAGTCTCCTGATGATTGTTTCCAAAGTCACCTAGCTGGCTTTCATGCCTAAGGTGAGCCTAGAAATCACAATCTCATGGCTTCTGGACCGGCATCTTAACCATTAGGCAAAATTGGCTCCCTCATGGAGTCTTAAGATGCAAACATGACAAAATTCCATCTTCTCTGTCCAGGAGTTGTTTTCATGACTTCTAGATTTTGGCTGCATGTCATATTTAATCTGGAGTTTAAAAATCTGGACCAGTAGTGGCTGAGATCCTAAAGTACACTTAGCCAGATCAGCTAAAATATAAAGGGCAGGAGTGAGGGGTGGGGAGTATGGGATCCTTAGTGCTCTCTGAGCTGCTTTGTTTTCTTGCAGACTTTTCATGACCCAACTAGGTAACGTAGTATTGTGGCCCGTCAGCGGCCTGTGCAGATTGTAGCTGATTCCGACAGCGAGAAGGCTGGTGTGGTGCTGCGTCAGCAGCCTGTGCAGCTGGCACTCGAGTCAGACAATGAGGAGGCTGGAGAAGATGTGGTGCCAGAGGCAGGGATTCAGCCAGGGCCTTCAGAACCTCCAGAAGCTCCCATAAGTGAAGAGGACGAAGAGGAGGAGCCTCTTCTCAATGCACGGGCGCGCAGAGCTGCCAAAGGGCAGGAGTGGCTCCTCAGGAGGAGGTCTCCTCGAGAGAAAGGCTTGGGGCTAATTGGCCACTCCCTTAGCCTATTTAAGGAAGAACGACGACTGAGGCAATTTGCAGGGAGCAACTTCGTTCATTCTCCTTCACGTCCTGATCTTAGTTCTCATATCACTTTCCTGCAAATGGCTTCTGGGCTTTCTGCCAACCATAGTAAGATTACGATGATTTATTCTGTGGATTCTTGTAGGCTGTTAAGAAAGTTAATTAACAGCCTTTATTTGAAAAAGACTGATTTAATTTAGTAAACTAAGGTTTGTACAGACTTTGTGTGTGCTGCGTTCTTTGGGGTCCATAGCTGGGGCAGAACACATAAGCAGTGCTACATGGAAGTGGGGTTGGAGGAGGAGGAGGAGGAGGGGGAGGAGGAGGAACTGCAATGGAGAGATCAGTGAGACAAAAGAAACCCGAGTCTAGGGTAGAATTTGAGGCAGTGTCTCGGTCATAACCCTCACTAGTTTTAAGGAAGAAAAAAAGTACATTCAACCTTGCACTTTTTTGTTACTATACACTTAGTCTTTGACTTATAATTAGCCCAAAGTGTCTGTTGCTAAGCGAGACAGTTGGTAAGTGAATTTTGCCCATTTTACGACCTTTTTTGCACAGGCATAAAGTGAATCACTGCAGTTGTTAAGCAGTGGTGAAATCCAATTTTTTTTACTACAGGTTCTGTGGGTGTGGCTTGGTGGGCAGGGTGTGGCTTGGTGGGCGTGGCTTGGTGAGTGTGGCAGGGGAAGGATACTGCAAAATCTCCATTCCCTCCCCACTCCAGGGGAAGGATACTGCAAAATCTCCATTCCCTCTCCACTCCTGGGGGAAGGATATTGCAAAATCTCCATTCCCACCCCACTCCTGGGGGAAGGATATTGCAAAATCCACATTCCCTCCCCACTCCTGGGGGAAGGATATTGCAAAATCTCCATTCCCACCCCACTCCTGGGGGAAGGATACTGCAAAATCCGCATTCCCTCCCCACCAGCCAGAGATGGTATTTGCTGGTTCTCCAAACTACTCAAAATTTCCGCTACCGGTTCTCCAGAACCTGTCAAAACCTGCTGGATTTCACCCCTTTTTGTTAAGTAAGTAACACAGTTGTTAAGTGAATCTGGCTTCCCCATTGACTTTGCTTGTCAGAAGGTCACAAAAGAGGATCAGATGACCCCGGGACACAGCGACCGTCACAAATATGAATCCGTTGCCAAGTGTCTGACTTTTGATCACATCCCCATGGGGATTCTGCAATGGTCATTAGTGTGAAAAATAGTCACAAGTCACTTTCTTCAATGCCGTTGTAAGTTCAAACGGTCACTAAGTGAGCTGTTGTAAGTCGAGGATGATCTGTAGCCTTATAATAAAAGTAATGTTAGCATGTACCATTAGTTCCCTAGTCTGGTCTTCCTTGAAATGCTGACCTAAAAACTCCATTTATATCAGATGCTAAGCTTGGTGGCTTTGGTCCAATATGCCAGCCAAGAGTTTTGATTTTCAATATTGTGTGTGAATCTAGAAAATATGTTAACTCTTTGATCACGTAAGCAGTTTGTAGGAAGCAACCTGTCATTTGTGGCCTGGAAGAAAAACAGAATGCAACAAATCCAGCGATGGCTGCATTAATTTTCTTTTTCTCTTTCTGTTTTTCTTTGTTTTCTCTGTTCCATCCAGTTTTCTGCTGGTTTTCTCCTGCTTAGTCCTCTCTGTCTTTTCCACCATCGACGATTACGAAGAGAGTTCTGAATGGGCCCTTTACAGTCTGGTAGGTGTGATGCTAAATGTCTAAGACGGAAATGGATGGATGGATCGAATGGATGGAAACTAATCAAGGAGAGAAGTAACCTAGAACTAAGGAGAAATTTCCTGAGAGTTAGTTCAGTTAACCAGTGGAATAACCTACCTCCAGAGGTTGTGAGTTCTCCAACACTGGAAGTTTTAAAGAAGAGATTGGACAACCATTTGTCAGGGCAGTGATGGCTAACCTTTTTGTCCACACCCATAATTCTATGTGCCCTGCCCCCGCGCATGTGCACACAACCCCCCCACTCCGCCCGCTCCTGGCATGGTAGGCCTGTTTTTTGCTCTCCCTAATCTCCAGAGCCTTTCTAGGAGTCTGGGGAGGGTGAAAACAGCCTTCCCCACCTCTCCTGAGGCCCTCCGGAGGCCAGAAACAGCCCGTTTGCCAATTTACGATGGGACCAGAAGTTGGCAAACAGGCCATTTTCGCCCTCTGGAGAGCTTCCGGGTGGGGTGGGGAAGGCCGTTTTCTAAGCACGGGGTGCTTAGATCTGGCCTGCAGGGCCACCCTGGAAACAGCAAAGGACTGGCCCATGGTGTCTCTGCCAGCGAAAACAAAGCAGGCAGCCCTCCTGAGTTCCGTTTTCACTGGCAGAGGGTTGCAGGAGGTGGTCGCAGCCAAAAACGGAGCTCAAGAACCCGTTTTTGCTGGCAGAGCGCTCGGGCCACCACAGGCACCCCCCCGACATGAGTGATGTCGAGCTGGCCATGCCTACCGTGGCCATGCCCAATCCACCCCGCCCCCGAGATCAAAAACAACCCTGATGCGGCTTTCAATGAAATCGAGTTTGACACCCCTGCTGTGATCAATTTCAGATGTACCAGAAAAACCAAAAATGAACAGAGAATTGTTGTGTCAGGATTGTCTTGTGTTGTTATACTATACTACAAGTTCGGTTTCTCCTGCAGGAAATTGTCACTATTGTGGTCTTCGGAGTAGAGTACTTTGTAAGAATCTGGGCAGCTGGCTGCTGCTGTCGATACCGAGGTTGGAGAGGAAGATTAAAATTTGCCCGCAAGCCATTTTGTGTGATCGGTAAGAAACATTTCATGGTTAGGTTGGTTGATGCTAACCTCAATCTTCCTTCTGGAGGTGATCAGAGTCTTGCTAGAGAGTTGACGACTCCATTTGCAATCAGCATGGAGCCGTTGTCTCAACAAAACTGGAGTGGACTAATTTGGGGACTGCTGTTCTTCGGGACAGAGCTCATGTGGCAGTGGAAACGTAAGAACAGTTGGGGTTAAATGATTCTTGTGGATCCCCGGATGGGAAAATGGAGAAACAAATGTTTCTGTGGTGGAAAGTCGTCTGGATTCCAAGGAGGGAGGGGCTGCATTCCAGAGGAGCAAGAGACAATGCAGCTTAGATAGTTTGTGTATGAGAAAGAGGGTGAAGACAGCTGCTCCCTACTAATTCCCAGAAGATAAGTTTTATGGTGCAAACAGTCCGCTTTAGTTCGGCATGATTTCTAAGGAATAATAAAGGAAACTGCTCAGAAGAATCTATTTCTTGTCTTTCTTGGGTTTTAGAGCCTGACCTACCTACCTACCTACCTACTTTCCTTCCTTCCTTCTTCCTTCCTTCCTTCCTTCTTCCTTCCTTCCTTCCTTCCTTCCTTCCCTTCCTTCCTTCCTTCCTTCCTTCCTTCCTCTCCCTCCCTCCCTCCCTCCCTCCCTCTTTGGAATATAGTCTAGATTTCCAGAAGGGAGGGGCTGCATTACACAGGAGCAAGACACAATGCAGTTTAGATAGTTCGTGTGGGAGAAAGATGATGAAGATGGCTCCTCCTTACTAGTTCCCAGAGTATGTTTTATTGTACAAATAGTCTGCTTTAAGAACAATAAAGTAAATTGCTTAGAAGAATCTCATGGGTCTTTTTTGATTTTTGGAGTCCCTTCCTTCCTTCCTTCCTCCTTCCTTCCTTCCTTCCTTCCTTCCTTCCTTCCTTCTTCTTCCTTCCTTCCTTCCTCCTCCCTCCCTCCCTCCCTCCCTCCCTCCCTCCCTCCCTCCCTATTTCTATCCATCCACCTATCCTTAGAATATAGTCCATGTTCCCTGAAGGAGGGGATGCATTCCAGAGGAGCAAGAGACAACTACCTTAGATAGTTTGTGTATGAGAAAGAGGCTGAAGACAGCTCCTCCTCAACAGTTCCCAGAATATATGTTTTATGGGGCAAATAGTTTGCTTTAGTTTGGCAAGATTTCTGTCTATAGGTTAGGAATAATAAAGAAAACTGCTTGGAAGAATCTCATATGTCTTTCTTAATTTTTGGAGTCTGGTAGATCCTTTGATACAGTTCTCTTCCTTCTATACAGACATCATGGTATTAATTGCCTCCATCGCTGTGCTGGCCGCTGGGTCACAGGGGAACGTTTTCGCCACCTCCGCTCTCAGGAGTTTGCGCTTCCTGCAGATTCTGCGCATGATTCGAATGGACCGCAGAGGAGGCACCTGGAAGCTTCTGGGATCGGTGGTATATGCCCATAGCAAGGTGAGCATCTGAGACCGCAGGAAACTCTCAGTTGTGGAAGATCTGTCTGAGATCAATCTGAGTAGCCAAATTGGTCGCGGTTTTTTGGAGACAGATTGGACTTCAATTCCCAGAATCCTTAGAACAGCACAAAGGATTCTGGGAACTGAGAGTTAGCAGATCCTGGACGACTCTTATGGGACAGCCAGTTTAAGTGCAGAGAAGATTGAACTGTGGGAGGAGCTGGCCTAATTTTCTCCCCTGTTTTAAAATCCTTTTAAATCAAAATTTTAATCTGTTTTAAATTATTGGGATTTTTTAATTGTCTCGGGCTAAATTATTTAATCTGGTTTTAATTATATCTTTTAACTTTTGTATCTATGTATTTTATTTTGTGCCTGTTCACCGGTATATAAATCTAATAAAAGAAAGAAAGAAAGAAAGAAAGAAAGAAAGAAAGAAAGAAAGAAAGAAAGAAAGAAAGAAAGAAAGAAAGGAAGGAAGGAAGGAAGGAAGGAAGGAAGGAAGGAAGGAAGGAAGGAAGGAGCTAAATGGAGGAAAAGTTATATGTTTATGAACACAAACAACAAAAATATTCTGGTCAATACCCCAATATGTGGGAGGGAGCATACTGCTTCCCTTTTGCCTTTCAGCTCCAGTCCAGGAGCCCTCAAGCTGTCACATTCACGACAAACCATTTTATACCAAATTTATATTTCGCTGATAAAGAAATAAAGGGAGACTAGTATAGATCTATTTCAAGCTATTTAGCTCTCATCGACTGCTTGAGGGCTCCTGGATTGGAACTGAAAGGCGAAAGGGAAGCAGAATGCTCCCTCCCACATGTTGGGGTAGACCAGGTGCCTTGATAGAAAAACTCTTAATCTCTCCCCTGGCTCAAGCTGATGAAGGGAGGAGAACTTGTGGCTCAGAGGTTAATGCAACTGCCTAACATGCAGGCAGCCCAAGTTCGTAAAATTGGCTTTGTTTCACTTAACACTTACAGAATTACTATAGAATTGTAGTAATTCTGGTCATAATTTGAGGATTACTTGGGTATGATTTTTCTCATGCTCCAAAGTAATTATTTATTTATTATGTCAAATTGTATCATCTTTCTTCTCTTGTGTAGGTATGTTTGTGTGTACATATATACAAACAAACTCCAGATAGCATACTAATATAAAAGGAGGAAAGGGGAAAAAAACAATACAGCAATATATATATATTACAGCAATACAGCAATTACAGCAATACAGCAATATATATATATTGTCTGACAGGCCTGAAAGCGATGATTAGAGATTTCATCCCACCATGGCCATTTAACATCTTTTTTTCAACATAGAAAAAACCCTGATTGCAAAAATATCACACATTTATACCTATGAATTAAAAGGAATATATATATATATATATATGAAGGACAAACAATATGAAAGCCTATAAAACATACTGCACTCAGGGAAAAAATAATTACATAGTGGAATTTGAGACAAGACTGAATAAAAGTTAAATGTTCATATTCTTTTGAACTATGTTATCTATTACAGGGAAATCAATGGCCAGGCAGTGGGTCTGCCTTGTCCTTCTTATTGCTAAGAAATTAGTTCTTGAAGCTTGAAAAGATATAATTTATGCCATGCCATACTTAAGCCCTGGTATTATGTACAGCTTGCTACAGATGCAGATTATGTATGTATGATTAAACTGAAATATACTCCTATTTCCTTAAAATGCGAAGCACTTATATTCGTGTCTCTTCTCTTCTCTTCTCTTCTCTTCTCTTCTCTTCTCTTCTCTTCTCTTCTCTTCTCTTCTCTTCTCTTCTCTTCTCTTCTCTTTACTTTTCTTCTCTTCTCTTCTCTTTACTTTTCTTCCCTTCCCTTCTTTTCCCTTCCCTTCTTTCCCTTCCCTTCCCTTCTTCCCTTCCCTTCCCTTCCCTTCTCTTTTCCCTTCCCTTCCCCTTCCCTTCCCTTCCTCTCTTCCTTTCCCTTCCCTTCCCTTTCCTCTTCCCTTCCTCCTTCCCTTCCCTTCCCCTCCCCTCCCTACCCCTCCCTTCTTTCCCTTTTCCCTTTCCCTTCCTTTCCCTTCCCTCTTTCCTTCCTCCTTCCCTTCTCTTCTCTTCTCCTCCCCTCCCCTTTTCTTTCCTCTTCCCCTCCCTCTTCTCTCCCCTCTTCCTTTCCCCTTCCTCCTTCCCTTCCCTTCCCCTCCCGTCCCTTCCCTTTCCTCTTCCCTTCCCTTCCCTCTTCCCTTCCTCCTTCCCTTCCCTTCCCTTCCCTTCCTTTCCCTTTTCCCTTCCCTTCCCTTCCCTCCCTTTTCCCTCCCCTCCCCTCCGCTCTTCCCTTCCCTCTTCTCTTTCTCCTTCCCTTCCCCTCCCCTCTCTACCCTCCCTTCCTTTCCCTTTTCCCTTCCCCTTCCCTTCCCTCTTTCCTTCCTCCTTCCCTTCCCTTCCTTTCTCTTCCCCTGCCCTCCCCTTTTCTTTCCTCTTCCCTTCCCTCTTCCCTTCCCTCTTCCCTTCCCTCTTCCCTTCCTCCTTCCTCTCCCCTCCCCACCCCTCCCTTCCTTTCCTTTTTCCCTTCCCTTCCCTTCCCCCTCCCCTCCGCTCTTCTCAAGAGTTAATGTGCATATTTGGGGTGAAAAAAAAGTTTTTTGGGGGCATGGCGAATAGACGTTGGAGGGCGAAACCTGGATGTACAAGGGTTGCTTTTGTTCTTCCTGCTTACTGAAGCATGGCGTCACAGGCCCAGAGACCAGTTTCTCCCCAATTAAGCTTTTTCTCTCTCTATTTGTTATCCCAATTGGCATCCGGTGCCTACAATGCCTTGGTTACTCAACTGCCTGAATTCCCATTAACCCTCCTTTAATCGTGGCATCTATCTTTAGATCCTTTGATTGTCAGCTATTGCTGGAGAGCTGTTTATGGGCTAAGCCTATTTTGAGGTTATTTGTCTGTGATCCGTGCTTGGATTCACTCCTTATTATGGGCTTTGTGTCATTCTGGTTGTGTTGGGTGAGTGTAGCAATTAGTATTTAGACCTCCTGGTACACAGGGTAAAACTGGCTTTCATTTTTGTCGGTCTGGATGCTTCTGGAAATCTGCTCTGGGTCCAGACCGTTTTTATTTATTTGATTTTTATTCCACCTTCGTTACTTATAAAAGTAATGAAGGTGGAATAAACATCAAATCAATAACTCAGGGTGGCAAAGAGTCCTGACATTCCTTCCTCCTCCAGTTTTCCCCACAACAACCCTGTGAGGTTGGTTGGGCTGAAAGAGAATAACTGGCCCAGCTGGCTTTCTTGCCTAAGGTGGGACTAGAATTCACCGTCTCCTGGTGATTGGCCCAAAGTCACCCAGCTAGCTTTTGTGCCTAAAGCAGAACTAGAACTCACCGTCTCCTGGTGATTGGCCCAAAGTCAGCCAGCCAGCTTCCATGCCTAAATGGAACTAGAACTCACAATCTCCTGGTGATTAGCCCCAAGTCACGCAGCCGCCTTTCATGCTAAGGTGGAACTAGAACTTACTGTCTCCTGGTGGCTTTCATGCATAAGGCAGGACTAGAACTCACCATCCCCTGGTGATTGGCCCAAAGTCACCCAGCTAGCTTTTGTGCCTAAAGCAGAACTAGAACTCACCATCTCCTGGTGATTGGCCCAAAGTCACCCAGCCACCTTTCATGCCTAGGGTGGGACTAGAACTCACTGTCTCCTGCTGATTGTCCCAAAGTCACCCAGTTGTTTTTCATGCCTAAGGTGGAATCAGAACTCACAATCTCCTGGTTTCTAGGCCAGCAACTTCACCCGTAGACCAAACTGCCTTTTGCCACATGTGTTTCCCTCCCTTCTATATCATGGCATGGCTATCACGGTAAATTTTTTTTCCTCCACTGAAGCCGAGGACCGACGAATAAGCAGATGTGGGTGGGAAAAACATCCCAAAGCTATTTATTCTTCATTTTTCTCTTTCGCCGTTTGCAGGAGCTGATCACCGCTTGGTATATTGGATTCCTGTGCCTAATTTTAGCCTCCTTCCTGGTATACTTGGCTGAGAAAGGAGAAAACGATCACTTCGATACGTATGCAGATGCCCTGTGGTGGGGCCTGGTGGGTATCTTTTCAGGCTATGAATTTGGGACTATCAACATAGCCTCAGAAGTACTGGTAGTCCTCAACTTACAACCATTCGTATAGTGCCCATTCGAAGTTACAACGACCTTTAAAAAAGTGACATGGTTATTTTTCACACTTACGACCTCTGCAGCATCCCCAGAGTCACCTGATCAAAATTCATGACGCCTGGCAACTGGTTCATATTTATGATGGGTTAGAGCAGGAGTCCCCAACCCCTGGTCCGTGGACTGGCACTGGGTCACAGCATCCCAGAAACCATTCTTATCTAACCCGTCTCCTGGCTATGGCTCTTCTCCATCTCCAAGGTCATTCCCACATATCATTATTGTTCAGGTGCTAAGTTGTGTCCAAGTTGCTTCTGGTTGACATCCTGGCGAGAACTGCTGGAAAATAGCGGGCTCCGCTGAGCCTTGTGAAATGCACTGTCGGGAGACTCTACTGGGTCATAGCCACCTTGTTGGGGCAGAGAAGGAAGGAGAGGTGCTTTGCTGATCACGAGGAACTAGCAAGTTCCTTGTTAGGTCCAAAGCAAGCTCTCCCGAATGGCAGCAGGGACGACGGCCATTTTTGGCAGTCACAAGCTGGGACAACCGGGATAACAAGATTGTGCTGGAGCAGTTCGTTGACAGAGCATTGAAACTGGGTGAGATAATTACCAACTTTTACTCGAAAGACCTGATTTAAGTACAAGAATAGATAACTTCCAAGCCTAAGAAAGTGGTGATTAAATACACGGAGAGGAAAAAATACAACAACTGAAAATTAAGAGTTGTGTCTGATTCTTCATGACCCCACGGACCACAGCATGCCAGGCCTCCCACTGTCCTCCACTGTCTCCTGAAGCCTGCCCAAAAATTCATGTTAGTTGCATTGATTGACCCTATCTGACCATCTCATCCTCTGCCGTCCCCTTCTCCTTTTGCCTTCCATCTTTCCCAACATCAGGGTCTTCTCCAAGGAGCCTTCTCTTCTCATTTGTCCGAAAGGTGCTTTTTTTTTCAAAAGGCAACTGGACTTTCTTTGTTTTTGCTTGAAGAGGTTTCGCTTCTCATCCTAGAAGCTTCTTCAGTTCTGAATGAATGGTGGAGAATGGAAAGATTTATATTCCTTGCAGTCATTGGTCGTTAGCACTCTTTGAAGACACATTCTGGATAGAGGGGACCACTGACTTGAAAGAAGGATCAAAGAGGCCATGTATATTAAAATTGAATATCCCTCTCTCAACAGAGGGGGTGGGATATGACACCACCATGTCCTTTCAGCACTCCCAAAAAACTCCACACTCATTTGCACTATTCAAGTGACCCTGAGGGCATAGATAAACCTCCAAGTGGCCTCAACAACTCTCAGAAAGAATATTAATGACCAGAGGACTGCAAAGAATATAACTCCTTCCATCCCTCACCATGCAGCCAGAACCGAAGAAGCTTCTTTGATAAGAAGCGAAACGTCTTCAAGGAAAAACCAAGGAAGTCCAGTTGCCTTTTGAAAAAAGGCATTTTAGGGACAACTATGACCAAGATGACTGAGACTCTCCATAGACACTTCTCTCATTTAGTGGCCAAAGAATTTGAGCTTCAGCTTCAGTAGCTTATTTATCACATACAATTATACAACCTCCAATGCTTGTTTTTAATGGATAGGCTGACATATGTCCAGCAGGTTCCTTTGATTGTACTCCTGCGCCAATATTAACTTTGAAGATTCCATTCAATGGCCTTTGTTTTCCTCCAGATAACTCTGACCACCATCGGCTACGGGGACAAGTATCCACAAACCTGGAACGGGCGTCTCCTGGCAGCAACCTTCACTTTGATTGGGGTTTCCTTTTTTGCTCTCCCAGCAGTAAGTAGCAATAGCACTTAGACTTATATACCATTTCCCAGTGCTTTACAGCCCTCTCTAAGCGGTTTACAGAGTCAGCCTATGGCCTATGGTCCTCATTTTACCCACCTCGGAAGGAGGGAAGGCTGAGTCAACTTTGAGCCTGGTGAGATTCGAACTGCCAAATTGCAGGCAGCCAGCAGTCAGCAGAAGTAGCCTGCAGTACTGCACTCTAACCACTGTGCCTCTGTGGCTCAGTAAAGTCCTCTGCAGTGGATTACCATTTCAGTGGGAAGGTAACAGCGTTCTTTGCGCTTTGGCATATATACGGGAAATCTAGATCGGTGACTTAGAACAATTAATCAGTGGAACAACTTGCCTCCAGAAGTTGTAAATACTCCAACACTGGAAGTTTTTAAAAAGATGTTGGATAACCATTTGTCTGAAGTGGTGTAGGGTTTCCTGCCTAGGCAGGGGGTTGGACTAGAAGACCTCCAAGCTCCCTTCCAACTCTGTTATTCTGTTCTGTTCTAATCAAGGAGAGAAGCAACCCAGAACTCAGGACAAAATTCCTGACAGTAAGAACAATTAATCAGTGGAACGCCTTGCCTCCAGAAGTTGTGGCTTGTGGGTTTAAAATTTCACTGGAGGTTTTTAAAAAGAGATTGGACAACCATTCGTCTGAAATGGTATAGTATCTTGAGCAGGAGGCTGGGCTATAAGGCCTCCAAAGTCTCTTCTATTCTATTATTCTGTTAATTCTGTTAATTTGATTTTCAGGGAATTCTAGGTTCTGGCTTCGCCTTGAAGGTTCAAGAGCAGCATCGTCAGAAGCACTTTGAAAAAAGAAGAAACCCTGCAGCTGGCTTAATTCAGGTGAGCCGAGAGAAAGTGGGAAGGAAAGGCTGGATCTCAGAGGAGAGAGAAATGGATCAAGAAGGTGCTGAAAGAGAATTGATTCAATAGCCTTTATTGTCATTGTACATTCATGCTGCAAAGCCTACTAGAGCAGGGCTCTCCGATCTTGGCAACTTAAGACTTGTGGACTTCAACTCCCAGAATTCCCCAGCCAGCCTATAACTCACTTAACAACCAGATTGCATAACAACATACATTCTGGCCACCAGTTGTGGTAAGTGAGGACTACCTATACATCAAAGATCTCCCCTGCAAAATCTAAGTTAGCAATAGCAAAAGCACTTAAACTTGTATACCGCTTTACAGTGCTTTACAGCCCTCTCTAAGCGGTTTACAGAGTCAGCCTATTGCCTCCAACAATCTGGGTCCTTATTTTACCGACCTCGGAAGGATGGAAAACTGAGTCAACCTTGAGCCTGGTGAGATTCGAACCGCCAAATTGCAGTCAGTCAGCAGTTGGCAGTCGGCAGAATTAGCCTGCAATACTGCATTCTCACCACTGCGCCACCACCAAGTTAAATTTATTTTATTTTTACAATTGCTTAACGCATTGTAAACTGCCCTGAGTCTCTGGAGAAGGGCGGCATATAAATCTAATTAAATAAATAAATAAATAAATAAATAATTTATTTATTAGAATTTGTCAAACAAAAACAAGAACAAGAATAAAAGAAAAAAATACAATGATAGGGACGATAAGTACGTTAGTGCACTTATGCACGCCCCCCTCTACTGACCACTTAAGCATGAAGTAAGGTTCACGGAAGGCAATTTGCAACTGAAACTGTGAAAATTTGTAGCTGAGACAACTGGATCAGATAGGGCACTCCAGACTTTGACAGCTCTATTACAGAAATCATGTTTGTTTACAGTCAAGTTTAGAACTGAGTTTAAAGCGGTGGTTATTGCGATTAAAACAGAAAAACTTCATTACTTCCTTCTTTTATTTTTTTAAAATCACATCTGCCTCTCCTTCTTATATTCTCTCAGGCTGCCTGGAGGTTCTATGCAACTAACCTCACCCGAACCGATTTGCACTCTACCTGGAATTACTACGAACGGACCGTCACCGTTCCCATGTACAGGTAAGCATTTCATCTGGGTTTCATCCATGATTCCTTTACAGGTAGTCCTCGGCTTACAACCATTTGTTTAGTGTCTGTTCAAAGTTACAACAATACTAAAAAAAGTGATGGATGACCATTTTTCACACTTATGACCATTTCAACATCCCCATGGATATGTGATCAAAATTCAGACGCTTGTAACTGACTCACATTTATGACAGTTGCAATGTCCTGGAGTCGCGTGGTCCTCTTTTGCGACCTTCTGGCAAGAAAAGTTCATAGGGAAGCCAGATTTACTTAACTATTGTGTTACTAACTTAACAACTGCAGTGATTCACTTAACAACTGTGGCCAGACAGGTCGTAAAATGGGGCAAAACTCACTTAATTGTTTTGGTCAGAAATTTTGGGCTTAATTATGGTCGTGAGCCAAGGACTACCTGTATTCCTATCCATCTGGCTTATTTATTTTTTTTGGTTACGTTCACCAAAATGTTATGTTCGCATTGTGTTTTTTTTTTTCTTCTTTTTTTTAAACTCACTGGAGAAGTTCTCTTTCTGTTGCTTTCAAATGCTAGATTTAGATTTATTTCTCCATTGCTTAGATCGGTTTATATTAATTTCTTTTTCTTTTCTTGCACATTTATGTTTCTCCGTTGGCCATCGTCTTTATTTTTCTGCGCCTGTTTCTCGGTGGGTATTGTTTTCTGACAATTGCCATGTCAGGAACCTGAAGACGGTCTGAAAGGCTGGCCTGGAAAAGTAGGTAAAAAAATAAATAAGTAACAACCCCTTTTTCCAGTTTTTTTCCCCCCATGACTTTTCTCTCCCTATATCATCTAGCATTTTGACCTGTGCTGTTTTTTTGTCCATGATGTGGAAAATGAATTGTGGAACATCCTGTCTGTAAATGTAGATTCCTTCCTTGGACAGCCTAAAACCGTGATGGTGAGCCTATGGCACGCATGCCCAAAGTGGCACATGGAGCCATGTTGCCTGGCATGCATGGCCTTGCCTGTTCCTCTTTCGGGTTTCTGGCACGCATGCGCGCACGATGATTAGCTGGCCTTCGTGCGTGCAGCAGTGCTGGAAACTTGAAGAGCTGGTCTTCCATTTTCCTGCGTGATCATGCACGCCATCCAGATGATTGTCATGCATGCATGCGTGCCAAAACCCGGAAAACTAGCTGGCTGGCATGGATGTGCATGCCAGAAACCAGAAGTTCATTTGGCCAGCACGTATGTACTCTGAGCAGCTCCTCTTTCGGGTTGCGGCCCGGATGAGCATGCTCCCTTTGGCACTCAGTGCCATCACTGGCCTAGAGTTCTGTTTCTGAAGAAAGTTTAAGATGGGTGGACTTCAACTCCCAGAATTCCCCAGCCAGCCATGCTGAGAATTCTGGGAGTTGACATCCGCTCATCTGAAAGTCACTAAGGTTTAGAAACACTGGCTAGAATAACTAAATAATTTCAGTTTCTAACAAGAAATTTAATGGGGATCAGAACATATGGAGAACATGGTTTCCAATTCTTTGTGAAAATAATCTCCAGGCAGAAGGGTCATCACAGCATGAGGCAGCCTTCTCTAGTAACTGTCTTCCAGATATGTTGGAACTGCAATTCCCAGAATTCCTTGGATTTTGCTGAGGAGGAATTTTGGGAAGAGACATTCTGCGAAGAGAACAAGATTAGGGAAAGCAGCCATAGATATAAATCAGGTTGAATGACTCCTCTACATTATGAAAACTTAGCCGACTGTAGAAATGGTTGTACTTGATTGAGTTGGTGATATTGGATATTTGTAAATTTTTTCTTTTGTGGAATGAGAAAGGGGCAGAATCTGGCTGTTTGTATGTAGGTGCTAAGCAATTTCAGGTCTGATTAGTATTCGATGGGAGGCCAAATTAGGAAGATTAGAAAAAACTAGATATTTGGAAAAAAAAATAGAAATTAGAAAAAAATAGAAAAACTCCCAAAAAGTAACAATGAAATAAAATGAACAACATCACAACACTTATTAGAGAGCAAGTTTGATGTAGTGGTTAAGATGCTGGTTTAGAAACCAGGTGAGAGTGAGTTCTAGTCCACTCTTAGGCATGAAAGCCGACTGGGTGACTTTGGACCAATCATCAAGGAACGGTAATTTCTAGTTCCACCTTGGGCCAATTACCAGGAGATGGTAAATTCTAGTCCCGCCTTAGTCGTGAAAGCCTCGGGTGAGTTTGAGCCAATCACCAGGTGATGGTAAGTTCTAGTCTCATTTTAGGCATGAAAACTGACTGGGTAACGTTGGGCCCAATCACCAGAAGACTGTGATCTCTAGTCCTGCCTTAGATAGGCATGAAATCTGTTTAGATGATTTGGGGCCAGTCACTCTCACTCAGACCAATCCACCTCACAGGGTTGTTGTTATGGGAAAAATGGGAAGAGGGAGGTTCATTGGTTTATGTTGGACTATGAGTATGAAGACTTCAGTTTCATCCTTAGGTCAGAAAAACAGAGGAAAGAGTACAGAATAGGTGGTACCTGGCTATTATGGGAAGGATCTGGTTACCCTGGAAGAACACAGATGAAGCACAAGCCAGGAGAGGGTTAGACTAGAAGACCTCTGTGGTACCTTCCATCCATGTGCTTCTATGGAAGCCCCATGGGGAATCCCTTCATTTCAGCCTAACCCTCAAAACAAGTTTGTTGTTTTGGGGATAAATTTGGAGGCTGCTTGGATCCCGGAAGAAAGGCAGCATCGACATGTAATAAAAACAAATCAGTGAAAAATGCACCACATTCCAACTTTAAAGAATAAAACCAATATCTTCTTTTCCTTATGTGTGTGGAGCTGAGTGCTGCAACTGAAAAAGTTTTCTTAAATTTGGAAGGCAACCATATTGTAATCTAAAAGAGAGGGACATCAGGGGATTGGACTAGAAGACCTCCAAAGTCCCTTCCAACTCTGCTAGGAATCCAAAGTAATCTTTCTTCAGCTCCTGAGAAGCGGCACATCCAAGCTGACAAGCTTAGAAAGATTTCATATTTGTGCATGATGTCAAAACACAAATGCTTAGGAATAGAATAGATGGTCCAGGGCTCCATAGCAGTAACTGTGAGATGGATCATGGAGTCCTGCTGAACAACCATTTAAATATGAGCCAGCTGTGTGCCAAAAAAGCCAACACAGTTCTAGGCTGCATAAACAGAGGGATAAAATCAAGATCACGTGAAGTGTTAATACTACTTTATAATCCCTTGGTAAGGCCACACTTGGAATATTGCATCCAGTTTAGGTCGTCATAATGTAAAAAAAAGATATTGAGGCTTTAGAAAGAGTGCAGAGAAGAGCAACAAAGATGATTAGGGCAGGGGTCTCCAACCTTTGAGGCTTGGTGGATTGGCTGAGGGTGGAAAAGGGGAAACAGGCCACATGAGTGGCAGGTGGGTACATGTGTGCACCCCACTCCCACTCCACTAATGTGACTCATGCATACACCTGTGTGGCAGCCCAATGCTTGTGAGGCCTAGTTCCAAATAGGCCATGGCCTGGTGGTTGGGGACCCCTGGATTAGGGAACTGGAGGTAAAACATATGAAGAATGGTTGTAGGAATTGAGTACGTCTATTTCAATGCAAAGAAGGACTAGGGGAGACATGATAGTGTTACAATATTTGAGGGGCTGTCACAGAAAAGAGGGGGGTCAACCTGTTCTTCAAAGTACCTAAAGGCAGGCCAAGAAACAATGGATGGAAACTAATCAAGGATAGATCCAACCTAGAACTAAGGAAGAAACTTCCTTAGTGAGGACAATTAACCAGTGGAACAACTTGCCTCTGGAAGTTGTGGGTGCTTCTTCACTGGAGGTTTTTAAGAAGAGACTGGACAAATATGTCTGAAATGTTATAGGGCAGTGATGGCTAACCTTTTTGCCATCGTGTGCCAAAAGCGGGCGGAGTGCGGGGTGGTCGCGCGCGTGCTTGCCCACACCCATAATTCTATGCGCCCTGCCCCCCTGCGCATACGTGCATGACACCCACCCCCGCTTTTGGCATGTGATGGCACGGTGGGCCCGGTAGGCCCATTTTTCGCCCTCCCCAGGCTCCAGAGGCTTTCTAGGAGCCTGGGGAGGGTGAAAACAGCCTTCCCCACCACCCCTGGAGGCCCTTTAGAGGCCGGAAACAGCCCATTTGCCAACTTCCGGTGGGCCCAGAAGGCCCGAAAAACCAGCTGGCCAGCAAGCGCATGCGTGCTGGAGCTGAGCTAGGGCAATGTTCGCGTGCCCACCAATATGGCTCCGCGTTCCATCTGTAGCACGCGTGCCATAGATACGCCATCACGGTTATAGGGTTTCGTGCTTGAGCAGGTGGTTGGACTAGAACAGTGCTTTTCAACCTGTGGTAGGCGTATCACGAGTGGTATTTCGGCACCTGGCAAGTGGGTATGCATGCGACGGGTTGAAAAGCACTGTAAAAAAGAAAGTGTAAAAAAAGTGCAAAAGTGTAGCGGGGGTGGGGGAACGAGCCGAAGAGGTGGCGGCACCTTTGTTATATGAGTTTTGTCCCATTTTACGACTTTTCTTGCCACCTTTGTTAAGCGAATCACTCAATTGTTAAATTAATAACATGGTTGTTAAGTGAATCTGGTTTCCCCACTGACTTCGCTTGTCAGAAGGTTGTAAAACGGGGCAACATTCACTTAATAACTGTCCCACTTAGCAACAGAAATGTTGGGCTCCATTGTGGCCATAAGCCGAGAACTACCTATATACATTGATATAGTTTATTTTCAGGGTTTCAGGCTAATAAACAGAATAAAAGAGGAAATAAGCTATTCCCAGCTCTCAAGCTTATCTCCTTTCTCAGCTAAATCAGCTTTATTACTCATCTTCCAAACTGGGGTTGCTGCTGTATTTCTATTTTGTGTTTTAGATATTTGTTGTTTTCTGTATTTTGAGTTGGAGATTAGACAATGTAAGATCTTTTATTGTAAACCAAAATGCCACACACAAATAAATGAATTCTTGTAAAACCTT